TGTATATTAAATTACACAGGACTAAGAATCTTCGACACGTGTCATGATAGGATTATAGTGTTTAGACAAGTTTTGCGAGTAGTGGTTGAGCAAAGTTGCGCGCCGGATTATGAGATGGGTATATTGATGCTATCCCAATATGGACCCATGATGGAGTATCTTCTCAGTTACAACGGTTTGCCAATCGGCATCTACGAGGAACGAGATTTCACAGTGCCCATAATCAATATCCTGGCGCATTATCTGAGCACCAAGTATAAGATCGTCGATCTGGTCCACGCCAACACGGATTCTGTTCTCGATGATTTCCTAGAAGTTATCAAGGATGCTGGTGTGTGCGTGAAACGAAGTGACAGGCATGTCAACGGTGACAGGTATGCGAACGTCACGGAAATGGTGATAGTCGCAATCGGTAAGAGAAATGACGTGCAACGATGACTGGAAGAGAATAAGAAATCGAGAAATTTCGGAGAAATATGGTTTCTGCTGCCGCTTGATAATTCAGATATTAACGGCAAGTAAATTTAAGTATCCATGGATAATGGAGAAATTGTTAAGGAATAATAGTTTGATTTCTGCGATGATATATTTTATAAAGTCAAACGTCTCTCTTTATATTTTATAGTATAATAAAAGAAAAACTATTTATCTAATCAAATATAAAAGTGGAAAGGACTGATGGGAATCGGGCTAGTGGGAGTATTTATCTAATGTCTTCATAATTTTAATGCAACAATTGTCTCTTGTGAACATAGAAATAGCAATCTAAATTAATATTAACTATTACATTACATTAAATATTGATGTCAAGTTGTGTTCGTAATAGCAGATACATTATCCAAGCTGTGGTAATTGAAAGTTAAGAAACAGTTTCGCCAACATCGTTTAACTTTAACCTTAGTTTGAGCGGCCTTTTGTTTCTGTCCAGAATTGAAGTTAAAACGAAACAAAGAGGTGGTTAAACTACGATTATATAGTTAATCGATATTGCTACAACCATTAGTTAAATTAACTCACGTGAATCTAATGCAACAAGGAATTCTTACAAAATCTGTGCAAAATTAAAATGGAAATCTGTTCATGTTTCATATACGCGTTTTATATATACTCGGACGGAATGCAAGAGATCCGGGTTTGATTCCCGGCCGAGGTAATATTTTTCGCAATAAGAATTAATTATTTACTAATATGTCATATTTTAATATATCACTCAGCATTATTAAGATCATTCTAAGATGCGAAAGAAGCATCAAAATTGTTAGTTAATTTAACTCGTGATATTACTGCGGTAGTTTAGTAGAGTAAGCGTTTCAAGACCGAAGCATCATTTCGGCGCGCATTTCAAAGGACTACATATACGTATATATATAAATTCACAGACTCATACAACATTTAAAATCCAGCTAAACCGTTTAGGGCATTCATTTCTACAATTTGTGTTTTCACATATACGGTCCTATAGGATATTATATTATTTTATATAAATGTTTTTTACTAAGTTTCTATAAAAAAAAGATTCATATAATCTTTTTTTCTAGAAATTTAGTTTTGATAACTTATTATATTACCAATATATTTAACAGTAAGCCGAAATTTAAATGAGAGAGATATTAATCTAAATTTAGCATACCAACAATATCTTCAACTTTCCAGACCTCATACCATCCGAATCGTATGTCATTAAACCGGAAATTTCTCGTTTCGATCTTGGCGAGTTCTCAAGCGCGGGTGAATTCCTGGAGAACTGCAACAACTTAGCAAACCACTCTCCGTATCTTCTCGACGTTGAGAAGGCTGTCATCAAGTTGGCGGAAGTCTTCCAGGATTTCCGCAAGAGAAACTGCTCTATCGACGAGGAGAGTAGCATCATGACGCAATCCCCAGACATTAGAATCGCAGACATTAGAATCGCAACGGGAAATTCGTGATTTTGATGTCTACAAGCATCTTCACATGCAACCGGAATCACACTTGCTGAAATACGTGGTCATTACGAAAATACAGCACGAGTTTATCGACGTCGCTCTTTACGAGATCGAAATGCCCAAGCTACGCGTTCTCCCGAAGAGGACGATATTCGAAATGCCAGGGATCTGTCTGGAGCATCTCATTAAGAATTGTGAAAACTGCACAAATTTTCAGAGTCGCGATACAAAAGGTAAAAATGATATAAATGTAATTACTATGAGTACAAAATTACACGAGTCACTCACATCGAATTGCTATCAAATAATCTTGCAACGTATAACTACACGAACGGTTTTACTAAAGTATCTAAAAATTTAGCTACAGATACAGATATGAAAATAATTTTATTAGACCATCAAAATAATTATACAGATCATTCAAACTGATTGCTAAAATGTCAAAACTTTTTACAGCATTGCTTATCATGCTTGTGAGATTATAGATCCTAGTTATTTTGATCAAAATAAAATTATTTTCAGATCTGTATTTATTTGTTTATTTATTTTTAAATACTTCATCTGTATGTATTTATTTATTTATTTTTAGATTGTTCAGCACAAAATCGTTTTTTCTGTGTATAAATATTAAATTCTAGTTTTCGTCTTTTATTATAATGTTTATCTAAAAATTTATCTAAAATATTATGCCTACAAATCTCTATTGGAATTATAATTATTACAAATTTTTAAACTCTACATACGCATTATTTTTCGAGAGATTAATATCGCTTGTCTATAATGTATCGATTATTTTTGACATTTCAGTAGATGTCGTTGGCAAAAATGTTCTAAAAAATAGCTTCTATGTTCCTGTTTTCTTGATTGTCATCATATGTGGTATTCTTGTGTGCTGCATCATGATGATTTTTAATGTCTATATCATATCACGACCAAGGAAATTCTTCATGGCAATTTGGTCTTCACAATTGTCCTCGTCCTGGTCAACCTATTTATCCTACTGACGGCACTGCCCTTCTGCGTGACAGACGATTATTTCGGTACGGAAAACCTGAACGCTTGGAAGATCCTTCTCACCACTCTCGCATTCGGCCCGATTCGGCCTCATATTCTCAATCATGCTCTCGAGAGCACTCTTTTTAACCTTGTCCACAGGCGGTGTTTTTATTCACATTAATGGATATTTACAGAGTCTTATGGCGCTCTTGGCATACGGCGTGCAAATCGCCATGTCGGTTATGTATTTCGTTCTGAGCACAACGAACTCAGCTGTCGTCATCAGGAGTCTTATTTTTATCGCGTTACTAGGTATTTTGACTGGATTGCTTATTAATTTTTCATTAATATCTGAATTTTTTAAAGTAGTATTTTTCTACAAGGATTGTCTTATAGTATTGTTTTTCTTGTTAAAAAATTATAATTAAAATATTGTATGTTTCCAGGATACGATATATTTTTATTAATTGCATTGTTCGTCACTTGCTACTTCATTATCCAAATACAACATAATTACCACGAAGAAAAATACTTCTTCAGAACTTCTATTGGTCTTCTAATAATATGGGTATTATAGTATGGTTGACTTGCTTCATGTTGATGCAATCGGAAAATCGTGACGCAGTCATTTTCTTCGGTACAGTTGCTACGGCTTATTTAATCATTTTCGGTGTCTTAATATATCAAGGATATATTATATTATGCGCACACCCAAAAGGAAAAATTTAGGACAAAGATTCGATCCTGTCAACCTACTAACCGATTCGACTGTTAATACAATTATCAGGCAGGTTAGAACGCTACATATTTTCTACCCATTTTCAATGTTCTATATTTCCTCTTGATTAAGGCTCGTGAATAGTCACTACAGTCATATTGAATCGTGACGTCAGAAGCGAGACGTTAATTTTTGTTGTGCCATTTGTAAACAAAAACAATTTGGATAAAACAAAATGATGAGATCACTTTAAAATATTTGTATAAATGGACGAAAACTATGCTTATCTCTCTGACAATCAGTAAATAATCGTAAAAAAGTGATAAAAGGTTCGTGTAAGTGAAAATAGACTACGCATTGAATAAAAGAACTTCAAGTATCTTTTATCGATTATTTATTGATCAGAGGGATAAGAATAGTTTTCGTTCATTTTTGCAATTGTTTTAAAGCGATCTCAACATTTTGTTTTATCCAAATTATCTTTATTTACAAATTGCACGCAATAAAAATTAATGTGTCATTTCTCGCTTTGACGTCACGATTTAATATGGTTGTGGTGACTACTCAGAAGTCTTAACCCTTTGGCCTACAATCACGAGTGAGACTCGTGGTAAGTAATTTGGTGTATAAACAATAAGCACGAGTCAGACTCCTTACCACGAGTCTCACTTACCAAATTCCTTACCACGAATCTCACTCGTGGTTTTAGGCCAAAGGGTTAATTATTAAAGTAATAATGAATTTTTGATACTAATATTGTTTTTGATAAAGTGCGTTATTAATTATTATAATTTTAATTATAAATATAATTAATTAATTCTCTTAAATAATATTTTTATCATATTATGTAAACTAATTAAATTTATTGTTAAACATATTATGTAAACTAATTAAATTTATTGTTAAAAGAATTTAATTTTTTTTTAATAATAAAGGAACTGCGTTTGCAGTCATGTTCTTCCCACGATTATGTTTATCCTGCTCGAGAAAGTCAGATTTTGCGAATGCCATCAGCATATTCAAATTACTATGGTAATTTAAGTTCAAACTCAAAATACTTCAAGAGATGCAGAAGTCCAAATCACTACGAAATGCCTACATATAATAATTACGAATGTTACGCGAAAATGAAGGAAATTGACGCTGCTTACGTTACCCTGCGAATGTACGTCGAGAACACGGAGGTGAATATTTATTAAGCCGTAAAGGATTAATCAGATATATACTTTTTATAAACAGATAATAAATAAAAAAAACACTGTTTTCCTAATATGCTCAATATAAATGCAATTTATGTATATTAGAAGATAATATAATTAGAATATAATAATGTTAACAATTGAATTGTATAAAAATTATTTTACAAAATTCCGTCAGACGTATGTACATCCTTAATTTGGAAAATTTTTTTAATTTTCAGTTTTTAGCAACAAATAATGTCATTTACGCGAAGCCAAAAATCTATAAATTTCAGAGAATAAGTTTGGAAGAGAGAAGCAACACAGAAACCACTTGTAATAGAGATAATTCTTCACCTGTCTCTAGACAACACATCGAAATGTATTCCATAAGATACACTAGCCCAACGAATATACTAAGGGAACGAAAAATTGATGAAGAAGAAGAGAATGAAGAAGAAGAAGAAGAAGACGAAAAGGATCAGGAAGACGAAGGTGCCAGCAGAATTACCCGCTTTTGACTACTTTAAAATCTAGTTTAATTTTTAATGCTTTCATCTTTATGAATTTTTCATAAAATATAACATAGATAAAGAACCCCGCACAAATCTTATGGGAAATGGATTTTGAATCAAATTGTTTCAAATTTAAATATTTTGTAATTCATGTGAAGTTGATTAAAAGTCCATATAGGTAAAAACCTCCAAATGTCTTAGTTTTTGCTCCAGGATCTTTGGAAGATCATCATAGCTTGTACGAAAAAATAATTCAAACAAATTTTTTTTTATTAACATTAATTATAAATACTGTCTAATATATCATGGATATATATTGTATATATATATACAAATGTCACGGAAAAAACTGTCGGACATAATATCACGAAAAAGATATTATATTTTTTAATATTTTGAAAAATATTATTACGATATAAAACATCCTGAAAAAAGCTCTATTTTCTTTTTTAATTCCAAAAAGGCAAGGAGATTAAAGAAAATCAAGCACTCTGTGAGAAGCAAGGAGACTCATGTAAATAAAGCATCTCAAAGGAATGAAACGCCTGTCACGTACACGTCATTCGTTCCGGATAATTTTGAGAAATGGGCGCAAAACTAAAATCATAAACATTGGTACATGTACAAGTGTAGTAAACAAGATTTATTTCAATTTTTTGTATAAAATATAACTTTTTCATATAAAATATAGACTTTCCGAAGAACCTAAAGCAAAAACTAAGACATTTGGAGGTTTGTGCCCGTAAAGAATTTTAATCAGCTTGACATAAGTTACAAAATATTAAAATTTAAAGCAATTTGATCAAAACTTATTTTCCATAAGATCTGTGTGGGGTTATTTATCATAAAATATAATTAATAGATTTAAATCACGGAAAACAGCAATGATAACTAAATAAAATTTATAATTTGCAAGATTTCTTTTTTTCATTACATATTATTGCTTTAATTCATCTAAACTATAATCCATATTTACGATTATTGCGTAATGTATTAAAAAGTGTATTAAGGGGGCATATACGTTTGTCGATTTCAAAAAATCGACTTTTTTTTAAAATGCATTTTTTGACAGTTTGAATCTTCAAGAATATTATCCTAAAACCGTTTTTTGAAATTCCAATAAGTAAAAAAGTTACAACGCGTTTTGTCGGGCAGTGCACAAATGTGCGCTTGCCCTTTCTGAAGCGACTGTTGCCACCCAATAAGTGGCAAGCCGAAGGTGAAACTGCAACGACAGAAAAATCATCAAATGGAGGCAAAATCATCAAATCTTGAGCAGGAAGGTTCCCTTATGGACCAGAAATTGACGATGACGTGTAAGTTGAATAAATTATAAGTTTTACAATAAAGTTGTTCGAAAACTTTAAACGCGTTTTTCTCAAAATCATATTTTTAAAGTCGGTTACAATGGTAACTTGAAGATGGATCAACCGACTTGCTTTTTTTTTACTGAAAGCTTATAAAATTCGCTTGTCGTATCCGATTTTTAAAATTCTATATATATATATATATATCTAACTTTAAAGGTCCACCATTTTGTTTAAAATTTGAATTTTAAAAATCGGATACGTCAACGACAAGGAAATTTACTCTTTAGTCCAGTCGTCAGAGATCTGACATCTAAAAATGATCCGACCTGGCTGAAATTTTGTGTGAATGTACATTAGTAATCCCCAAAAAAGATGCAAAAAAGTTTACCACTCGTACCCCCGGGCTTCTTCAGAAATTGCCCCCTAAAGGGGGTAAAAAACGGAAAACATCGATTTCCCAGAAATCTGTGCATGGAAAAAAAAAAGTTTCAAACAAAAAATGTAGTTGACACGATTTTGAACAAAATAGTTCCTTACCACTTTCTTTGTAAAGTGAACCATTCTCTCAGAAAAAACGACTTAAGTAACGAGTTATTTTGAGTGTCAGTTGCGCGCGAGAAATAAAATATTTGAAAAAATTTTTATCAAGTACGCGGTAAATATTCAATAACTTTTGTT